CTCGCTGTCTTGGCTTTTGCTTTCCTATAGTCTCTTCTCATCAGAATGGCTGGAGATCCTTTCCAAGTGTAAGTGAATCACTTCACTGCTCAGAATGCCCCAACATCCTGTATATATATGACAAAGTAAAATCTAAAGCCTTGATGTCTCTAGGGTGTTCCCTTGCTACCTCTCTGAATCTGTTTCCTAGCACCCTCCTCCTTGCCCATGCAATTGAAGCCACATGGTCTATTCTTTGTTCCTTGAATACCCTACACACACCACTGCCTCGGGCCTTTGTGCTTGCTCTGCCAGGAAGGCTCTTCACACAGCTATCCACAGGGCTTTCCCTCCCTGACTCATTCATTACCTTTATCTGATCTTTCTGTGCAAAATAGGAATCCCTTCCTACCCTTCCCTGCCTGTTTTTTTCCAAAACACTTATTATAAGGCACATGTATTTATTTATTGCCTGTCCCCTTCCCTAGATTATAAACTGCATGAGATCAAAAATCTTTGTATATTTTTTTCTCTACTGTATCTGAGGCTAGAAAAATGTCGGACATGGCCGGGCACCATGGCTCATGCCTTTAATCCCAGCACTTTGGGAGGCCAAGGCGGGTGGATCATGAGGTCAGAAGGTTGAGACCAGCCTGACCAACATGGTGAAAAACTTCCTGTCTCTACTACAAATACCAAAAAACAAAAAAAATGTCTGACACATGGTAGATGTTCACTTTATATTTGTTAGAAGAATGAATGACTGTTACTTTCTACAACAGTTATTTGAATGACCAGCCAAGCTCTTTATGGAATTCTGTTCACTTAGAGTAAGCAAATCTTCCACAACACTACAGGGGGTGGGAGTGGGAATGCGGTGGGAGGACCACTACATCTTTTTTGCTATAAATTGCTTTCCCATATGATGATATTTACCATACCAGGATTTCAGCTCTAGCTCAAAGCTTGCTTAAGGATATTTGTCAGAATGAGCTTGCCTGAGAGTTCAGTAATTCTCAAGATGGTTTCCCTGAAAGAATCCTTGTTCAAACACCATCCCTTTGAAAGTCCTTAATCCAGACTGCCTGTTCTGCAGACATTCTCCGATGCATTATTTAAAGTTATTTCCAGTGATGCGTGGGTGGGAGGTGGGAGCTACATTTGTTACTTAGTGGTTTCCAAAAGCCTTCCAGGATCTTTCCTTTTTACTCTAGTGAGGTTGCTCACTTTTAACCCTTCTTTCCCAAGTCTCCTAACATAACCTCTTAGGCTTAGTAACTCATCGGCAAATCTGTTAATGCATTTCACTGCCATTGGGTGAAATTTAGAAACATGTTACTCTGTTCTTTGGGGATGCCTCTTAGGAGAGGGAGGCTTCTTTTTCTTGAGGAGTCAAAGAATGACATTCACAAAAGATACCGTTTATTGGATGAACCAGTGTAGGGACTTTTAAATTCTTTGAAGAATGTTCATATCTGTGGTATAATGCATTAGTCATCATACGTTTGAAGAATAAAGACATCACATTGTATTCGCCCTCTCTCCCAGGGCCCCCGCAACCTTTCGCATCTGTTATTTTGTTGGAAGCTCACAAAGCTTCCTGCAGTAGACAAGTTGTTTCACATTTTACAGATGAAGACAGAGGCACAGTGAGGGTAGTGACCAGCTGAAAGCAGCTCTTGGTGGATGGCCCACGGGGACCTAGAGCTCCGCCCTCATACTCTCTTGCTTCCTGGTCTTGCAAGACTTTCACTTAAACATTTTGCCTCTTTTAATTACTGATAGGTGGCCTGGTTCTCCCCTGTTCTCCAGAAGCCCAAGTACACGGGCTCCTGGAGCATCAAGGCCTCAAACACTTGATGCTTGTCTTTTGTTGCAGGGGTCCATTTCTAACTTGCAACATCTAGTTTCTGGTTCTGCTTCTGCCGGCTAGTGAGAGAGATAGGAAATGGCTGTGTGTCTCTGGATATTTTGAGACTGTGCTTTGTCTAAGAGAATGCTCAGTGGCAGATGGAACCATTTAGATATCCAAGGAGAACTGCCCTTCCTGAGTTCCTTGGTCCCTAAGCTCCAATTTGGTAGAGAATCGGGCTTCTTTTCTGAATATCCATAGTGAGGTCACATTCCTTAGAAATTCTTCACTTGCAAGTCTGACAGCTCTAGGAGTTACCCTTTAAGCATAATATTGAGACCGGTATTCCTTTCACGACAGGGCTATAATACTGCCAACCTTTGCACAGAGCTTTAGAAATGTGGTTATGCTTCAGAAGCTCCCACCAAGTTTCTGAAAATACAGATTCCTGGGCTCCTCCTGGAGATTGTAATTCAGTAGGCTTGAGGATCAGAAATCTGAAATTTAAGCAACAACAACAAAAATTTCCTTTGTCAATTCTGACAATTAACCAGGCTTGGAAACCACTGTTTAGATTACAAAGCCCTTCTGTATACAGTATTTCATTTCTTCGTCACAACATGAGGAAGCCTTTGCAGATGTGACTCAGATATGGTAAAGAACCTATTCTAACTCTCTAAGTGACTGAATGGTAGAGCCAAGTCTCTAGCCTAAAGCCTTTGTCTCCAAACCTGATTTTATTTCCACTGTGATCCCTCTTGGAGATGCATTCTCCCATCTATCTGTTGCCCCGGGGGTGTTGGTTTCTTCTCATACTCTGCTTTGCTCACCAGTGTAAGGCCAGATTCATCTGTTCTTCCCTGGGAGCAGCTCTAAGCAGATGTGGAGAAGGTAGTGGAAAGGCAGGCCCCAGGCAAGAGTCTCAAAGTATCCATCCTTGTCAGTTATCTGGGCCCATCAGGCAACAGTGGCGGGCAGGGACATCCAAGGAATGTTTCAGCCCAGTTCCAAGAAAGAGTTCCAAACAGCGCAGGGTAGAAACCACCAGCCGCTGGCTTAGGGAGTTAGTGGTAAACCTTTCCTCTTTCCATGTGCATTGTGTTTTGGAGCTAGATCATCATGAAGAAACCTCAAAAATCTCAAGTTCCATTGTAATAGGAAGAAGGCAGGGTGGCCCTGGGGGTGACTATGGGAAACTTTGAGTGGATTTTCTGGTGCTTCTGGGTGAGAGGATGTCAGAGTGTAGAAGGAACTTGAGAGCAGGGCTCTTTTGTCCTAGCTGGCTCTGTGTCACTGGGAGCTCCCGGTGTTGGAATGTTTACATGGACTTTGGTGGGTGGTCCCCTCATCCCAGATTCCCAGTGTGGCAGCTCTTCTTCGGAGTTTAGAAATTGGAACCTGGAGGACCTTTGTCTTAGGAATGGGAGTTTGGTTTCTGGTTATTTCATTCATTTGTCTATTGGTAGATATTGCTACATAGTAGTTAAGAGCCTGAGACTTCCTAGATTCCAGATCTGGCTTTGCCGCTTACTAGCTTTGTAATTGGTGTTACTGTGCCTCGGTGTACTCACCTTTAAGATCATGATGACACTAGAACCTACTTCTTCAGGTTTTGGGGAGAAGCAGATGAGTTATTATGTGTGGAGTGCTTAGAAGTGGGGCAGGCACCTAGAAGGAGCGGCGCAAGGCTCGCTTCTCTGTTGTCTGACAAACCTCATATTCTGGGTCCACCACTGTGGCATAGAGGCAACCACCAGGGGCCCACCTTGCGGGAGGTGACAATTTACTTGGAGACGGGCTTGGAAACAGACCATTTCTGTGTAAAGTTGCTGTGTGACATGGGAAATGCTGTAATAGAGGAACTCTCAGAGGGGCTGTGGGGACAGAGAGGAGAGGCCAGCTGTGTGCCATGGATGCGCTGGGCCAGGCCTGAGCTGGCTTCTTAGAGGAGGTAGTAGCATTTGATAAAGTATCATTAGCAATTCACCAGATGGGGGAAAGGGAAACGCATTCCAGAGAGAGGCAACAGCACACACAGGGCCACAGAGGCGTGACAACTCCAGCATGTGCAGGAAATGACAGAAAGTGGAGAATGTGCTTCATGAAAAGGAAGTGGGAGGTGAAGTGGAGAGTCCAGTAAGCGCCATCCTAAGATCCTAAGAATTGTAAGCACCATGCCAAGGGATGTGGACTTTGTCTGGAGGAAAGGCACTTGGGACTCACTGGGAGTGTTTGAAGAACAGGCTCAAATTTGTATTTATTTCATTTATTTATTTTTTGAGACAGAGTCTCACTCTGTCACCCAGGGTGGAGTGCAGTGGTGCCATCTCAGCTCATTGCAGTCTCCGCCTCCTGGGTTCAAGCAATTCTCCTGCCTCAGCCTCCCTAGTAGCTGGGATTATAGGCACCCGCCACCATACCCTGCTAATTTTTATATTTTTAGTAGAGACAGGGTTTCACCATGTTGGCCAGGCTGATCTCGAACTCCTGACCTCAGATGATCCACCCGCCTCGGCCTCCCAAAGTACTGGGGTTACAGGTGTGCGCCACTGCACCCGGCCTCAAATTTGTATTTTAATAAATTACTCTGGTTGCTGTGATGAGCATAGCACCATAAACAAACAAAAAAAGAAAGAAAAAGAAACAAACTCACTGACTTGTCCCTTACCCCTGTTAAATGTGAGTGTAAGGTATCTACCATTTCAGAGAGGGCTCAACATCAGCCATGGTCAGAGGGGCAAGGGTTTGGAAAATATGGTGCTGATTCTGCCCACGACATTCAGGGTACCCCTGAGAAGAGCCCTTTGAGTGTCTGGTCTCCCCTTGTTCTGTCGGTGCAGGAGCGCTATCAGGCTCCCTCTCCATAGCTCATCTTTAGACAATGTTAGAGGAGTGTGTGTACTGGATTCTCTGCAAACACAGCCTACTCTGGAGGAAAAGTGGGTCTCCACTGCTTGTTTCATTTTCCTGTAGAATGTATTTGCACTTCATTTTATTATTTAACAGGTAACATGCTCATAGTTCAAAGAACAAAATGATAGGAAGGGTGACACACAGGTTTGCTCTTCCCTCTGTGCTCATCCGCCCTGTTGTCCCCATCCCTGCCACAAGAAACCATTCTTAATTAGTGTCTTGGGTATCATTCCAGCATTTCCTTTTTTTCTTTTCATGTCAGATGGGTAATATGCCAACATTGAAACAAGGTTTGAGGGTGGCACATCTCAAACAAGCATATGAACACCCAGTCATTATGCTTGTGAACTATAAAAGGATCACCTTCCGGCATTACTTTTTTCTTTTTTTTTGAGATTGAGTCTCGCTCTATTGCCCAGACTGGAGTGCAGTGGTGCGATTTCAGCTCACTGCAACCTCTGCCTCCCAGGTTCAAGCGATTCTCATGTCTCAGCCTCCCGAATAATATAGGCGTGCACCACCACTTCCGGCTAATTTTTGTATTTTTAGTAGAGATGGGGTTTTACCATGTTGACCAGGCTGGTCTTGAACTCCTGACCTCAAGTGATCCACCCACCTTAGCCTCCCAAAGTGCTGGGATTACAGGTGTGGGCCACTGCCCATCCCCAGCATTTCTTTATGCAACTATGAGCAAATAAGATTATAGATTCTTCCTGTTTTCCCTTTTACTTGTAGGATTATCAACAAGGTCTTTGAGATATAAAAAGTCATACTCGTTAGGGGATTTCTAGCTAGTCCAGTTATTCCTTCCAGAGTGAAATAAAGGAAAGCAGAAACTTTGCTATGACTTTGTCTCCCTGCCCTGTAAATTAGGGACAATACTGTCTTCCCTGACTCCCATGTGGGAAAGTAATAAGTAATTTCACATTCATCAACCGTTTTGAGCTTTGGGGCAGAAGGGATGCTCTGAGTAATGTTGTTTTGATGATTTCTCAGCAAAATACTTCCCTCTTGTTTATGGGTCTTAGGACTTATTTTTTAAAAAGCACTCAGATTGCTAATTGTTAACAAGTTGTTGGGTACTTTTCCTCCCCTCCAGCTCTTCCTCTCAAAGCTTCTGAGCCTTAATTGGCAGCCGCAGGCTCTGGTGGGGCCATGTGTGTCTGATTTTAAGCTGCATCCTGCCAGGGACTCCTGCTGCACACATGTGCCAGCAAGTGCTCCCCCGGTATCTGTTGCAAAGTTCTTTCATTCTTTTTTCCCACCACATGTGCTGAGCCACACAGAAGCTTTAAGACTCCAAATCACAGCTCAGCAGTGAACCAGTGTTGGCTGTAATTAGCTAGAATTGCAAAATCCTGGCCATAAAGACATCATGTCTTCGCTTACTGTGGTGAATTTCCTGCCTTCTCTAAGGGTAGCTGGAGAGGCTCGGAGGAAGGAAGTTGTCTATGAATTGAGGGGGGGCTAGACTAGAAGATCCCTAAGATGCCTTCACTTCTAAAATTACACTTTAATGACATATCCTTCAGGACCCGCCTGTCCCCACATAGGGAGTGGACCACCAGGCCCAGCAAGCCCCGTGGAGGTCCCCGAGATGCGCACCAGGAAACAGGGACAGGAGGCTGTTGTCTCGACACCACTGAACCTGGTTACTGTTTTGAAAGGGATTTGGTTTTGTTTTGCTGGGATGCTTCCTGGAAGTCTTTTCTTGAGGCAGTGTGTTTATCTGGTTTCTTACGTAGAGCATGAGGCTGTTTTCTCTCAGATGGGGACTTGGCAATGAAGAACTCAGTTCTGGGCCGTGATTCAAAACCTTGCCAGCTTTGTGAATTTCAAGAAATCCTTGTTCCCATCCAAAGAGACTTTGAACGGTCATTTCACCCTCCCCGCACAGCTGGGCTGGATAGCAGCAGTGGCCCAGTCCCCATTCTGAAGGTTCCCAGCCTTTACCTAGAGGAAATCCACCTCACTGGGGACCCTTTCCTGCTCCGTAGTTTTAGCCCATCTTCTTATTATTATTATCATTTTTAGAGATGAGGTCTCCTGTGTTCCCCAGGCTGGTCTCAAACTGCTGGGCTCAAGCAGTCTTCCTGCCTCAGCTTCCCAGGGTGCTGGGATTACAGACATGAGCTGCCACACCCAGCCTTAGCCCATCTTGAGGTGAAACTATGCAGTTGTTCTCGGTGCCTCTGCATGCCTGTCCTAGGTGGATTTCAGGAGGATGCAGAGTCATTGAGTTTACACGGGGAACATTTAGCTGTCTGCGTCGTTTCTGTGGGCTTCCCCAGGCTGACCCTGGAAAGGGTTCTGGATACTAGTTGGGGGATGCTCCTTTTTGCGAATTGACATTTAGCTGCCCGCGTCGTTTCTGTGGGCTTCCCCAGGCTGACCCTGGAAAGGGTTCTGGATACTAGTTGGGGGATGCTCCTTTTTACAAATTGGCACAGACATCCTTCTGACTTTCCTTTGTCCTAGGACCACTCTTTATGGTGTTGCTGTTAAAGCAGGTCGGGGAATTGGGAATGAAGCATAGCTAACGGGGTAACACTTGAGGAACAGGACATGGTTGGGGGCCACCAGTCCAATTTCTTTATCTTAGGTCTGAGCTGTTAAGACCCATAGCTACTTCTCTTATAATTATCTTTTTTTTTTTTTAAGACAGGGTTTCACCATGTTGGTCAGACTGGTCTTGAACTCCCGACCTCGGGTGATCGGCCTGCCTTGGCCTCCAAAGTGCTTGGATTACAGGCATGAGCCACCACGCCCGGCCTCTCTTATAATTATCAAACTTTTATTCTCCCTATTTCAGTGTTAGACTCTCCAGGGAGATCTTTTTTTTCCTTTTTTTAATTCTTTATTTCTTTTTTAAAGTACACGGACACACAGATCCAGGGAGGTCTTTGTGATCCCCAGCCTCGCGTGGTGTCTGGCTCATTGTAGATGTTTAAGATTTGGTTGTTAGATTGGGTACCCCATTCAGCAACATTTATTGAGTGCCTAGAATGGGCTTTGTGCCATGCTAGAACCTGGTGATGACAAATCTGATACAGCCCCTCCCATAAACAATCTATCATCTAGGAAGAGACATCTCTGTGTGCTTCCAACATCTAGCACAGTGGCAGAAAAAAGGTCATTTGGTGGCTTTTGAGCTTAGAGCCATAAAATGTCAGAGCTAGAGGGTCCTAGGGATTGTTAAGTCCCTCCCTCTCACTTTGGAAGTAAAGAAACTGATTGGTCAGAGACTTGCTCAAGGCCACACGATCAGACAGGGACAGAGAGAGTGCTCAGCCTGCTGTCCTTGCTTCTGGCTCTTTCTGTCACCCCATGCAGCTTGTCTTTGGTCTTTAACTAGAAACATAAAATCATGAAAAGTAGAGGCAGTACCAGAGAGAGCAGGAACCCACTTTCATTGCAGATCTACTGTGGCTCAGTGACCTAAATCCTGGAGGACTGGGAAGCTCTGGACAGTGGCTCTAGGACTGGGACTGCAGAGTCAGTACTCCAACGCCACAGGGGCTCGGCTGCCTGCGGTTCTCACCGAGACTTCATTCTCCAGAGGCCAGAAAGCCCTGAAGATGAAGGCTCATCACTTCTGGTCTTGTGGCCCTGTTCAGCTGAGATGCCACATGGTTCTCATTGAGGGGAAGGCATGTGAGAGGCCCTGGCGCCTGAGCCACACACTGGGGCTTTCCATCCTGCTGAAGTCAGGACATTGATTGACCCTGATTCAAACACACTGATTGGAAAAAAGGCATTTTTGAGACCATCAGGGGAAATGAATGTGGATTTGATATTCAGTAATACTAAAGAATGATTATAAATATTAGATATGATAAAGGCAAGGGATCATGTTTAAGATAGAACAGTCCTTATCAGTTAGAGATTCATGCCAATGTCTAGGTTGTTTTAAAATACTCTAGGGAAAATAAATAGATCTTTATAACTATTTTGGAGTCAAATGATATGATATCTGGGATTTGCTTTAAAATATTCTGGGCACAGTGGCTCACGCGTGTAACCGTAACACTTTGGGAGGCCAGGTGGGAGAATCACTTGAGCCCAGGATTTTGAAGCCAGCCTGGTAACATAGCAAGACCCTATCTCTACAGAAAATTTTAAAAGTTACACAGGCAGTTAGCTTTATACCTGAGGTCCCAGCTTCTTGGGAGGCTGATCCGGGAGAATCGGTTGGGCATGAGAGTTCGAGGCTGTAGTGAACTGTGATCATTCCCCTGCACTCAAGCCTAGGTGATGGAGCAAGACCATGTAAGAAAGAAAGAAAGAGAGAAAGAAAGAAAGGAGAAGGAAGGAAGGAAGGAAGGAGAGGAAGAGGGAGGAGTGGGGGGAGGGACGGGGGAGGGGGAGGGGGGAAAAAAAGAGAAAAATAAAGAAAGGCCTGGCGTGGTGGCTCACATCTGTAATCCTAACACTTTGGGAGGCTGATGCAGGTGGATCACTTAAGGTCAGGAGTTCAAGACCAGCCTGGCCAACATGACAAAACCCCATCTCTACAGAAAAAACAAAAATTAGCTGGGCATGGTGGTGTACACCTGTAATCCCAGCTACTCGGGAGGCTGAGGCAGAAGAATCGCCTGAACCCAGGAGGCTGAGGTTGCAGTGAGTCCAGATGGCTTAGTGGCTGTGGAAGAAGTGGCTTCCACAGACATGACGGGGTGTGGGTGACATCACACAGATCCTTGAACAATTGCATACCTATGGAGGGTTCCGGCCTTTCTGTGTGTCCTCTAAGAGACGCAGTGGCCAAGGTGAACTCCATGCCATCCTTGGTATTTTCCACTCACCGTTGTTAGACTATCTCTGTTTCAGGTCAGCCTCCTCAGACACCCAGAGAGGCCCATCCTAAGCCAACCCCCCTCACAGAGCTGTAGGGCTAACACTGCAAGTCACTGCACAACTGAGCTTGCCTTCTCAGCCCGCTGTGATGCAAGTATCTGGATTCTTTATTTTATTTTATTTTTTTCTTTTCTTTTTAATTTCTTTTTTTTAAGACGGGGTTTCACCATGTTGGTCAGGCTGGTCTTGAACTCCCGACCTCAGGTGATCTACCCGCCTTGGCCTCCAAAGTGCTTGGATTACAGGCCACCACACCAGCCAGTATCTGGATTCTTACTCACCTTCTGTCCTTGTCTTGTCCTCCTTCCTTTCTCTTCCGGATAGTGGAACCCTCACTACCTCTACCCCCTAATGCTTCTGCCATGTCTGCAATCTGATAGTCTCTACAATGTGATTTTACTATTGCAGTGGTCCCTCCTTATCCTCGGGGATAAGAACCCCAATGGATGCCTGAAAGTGCGGATAGCACCAGACCCAGTTGTGTCAGTCGGATCCTGTTTCTGGTCATGTCTTCCACTCACAAATTTAATACCTTTTCCATCCTAACTAAACAATTATCATGCACTGTGGCTATTAACTGTTGCACTTTGAGGTGAGGCAGCAAAACCAGCACAAATTTCTTCTTCCTTCTTCACAATTTCACAGATGGAAGATGATTTCTTAACATAGACCTCAGTGACTTCCTCATGCAATTTTTTTTCTTTCATTATTGAGTTGAGAACTTTCACCTTTTCACTTAAAGCACTTTACGGCTTCTCTTTTGGGATATGCAAATTGCCAGCGTCCCTACTCTTGCATTTTGGGGCCATTGTAAAGTAAAATAACAGTGATGTGAACACAAGCACTGCAGTACTGGGACAATTGGTCTGATAACCTGGACCACTACTAAGTGACTAACAGGCGGAGAGTGCAAACAGTGCGGATACGCTGCTACATCCATAGTCTTCTGTATCCAGGCTAGATGAAGGGATGATTCGTGTCCCTAGTGGAATGGAGTGGGATGGCTCGAGAATTTATCACGCTACTCAGAACGTCGCACAATTTGAAACCTGTGGGGTTGTTTATCTCTGCAACTTTTCTCTTAATATTTTTGGACCACAGTTGACCACTGGCAACTGAAACCTTGGAAAGTGAAACCATGGATAGGGACTGCTCTACTAGTTTGTTTAAAGTTTTACTCTCTTGCTGCACTCACTGCTGTGGTTTTTGTACCCAGGCCTATCCTAGCCTAGAGCACTCCATTCTAGTCTTCCCATGGCCACGTTCTTTAGTACAGAGTGAAGAGTTCTTACTGCCAAGGAGACATGCATACTTGGAGCCTATGTGCTTCCCACCCTGACAACACACACACACACACACACACACACACACACACACACACACACAATGCTCTGGATTTTGGGAACACAAACGACTGGGAACCTGCTTCCAGGGTCTCTCCCCCCATCTCCAGCCTCCCAAAGACAGACAGCCCTAGCCCCGTGGATAACAAAAGAGCTTCTGTTTGTGGGGCTGTGGACACAACTTTGATGTATTCTTGGGGTACCCATATGCATACATGTGAGGACCCTCCTGGTACCCAAGGAAGCCAGGGTCTGAGCTAAAAGCAGATGGAAGCAGACCATAGGAGAAGAGATAGCTTCTGGCCAGCTGCTGGCTCTTCCCAGGCTGCTGTACTCTGGCACACAATGCCAAGAAGTCTGAACCCTCTAACCAGCTTGTTATGAAAGTATATTGGCCAAGGTAGGAGGCTAAGGCATATTTATGAATTGGTTTGCTTGATTTATTTTTTGTAAACATTTAGACATTGGTGTATGTGGGGGCCTCTCTTTACACTCTTGCCCAGGCTCTGCACATTGTAAGTATCTATTTCCTAATGGAGACACAGGAATTTTGCTCTGGGCTTCATCTTGCCTTAAGGAGGGCTTCTGTTCTTCCATGGTATTTCCTGCAACTTGTAAAATACAACTTGTAAAGTCCTATTGTAGCACCACGTATTTCCTGTGTTTATAATGGAGATGAACTCATGGTTTGTCTTTTCACCACCCATCTTTCCATCCCCAACAACCCTCAATTACATAAGCTAACAAGCTAATTAAAAATAACCTTAAAGTGAGGACACTTGTGTAACCAACAACTTTATCAGAAAAGTTTCCCCTGGAATTTCCTGTGCTTATCCAAAGGGACCGGCAGTGTTCTGGATTCTAATCAATAGATGTTATCATAAAACCCAAAAAGATGAGCTTTGTTTTAAATTGTGGTTTTCCAAAATGTCTCTTCCCATTCAAATAGCGGCAGAATCCTACCTGCCATCCTTCCCTCCAGTGAAATGTTGTTCTCTCTCTCAATGAATCATTAAAATTCCTGGCTTGTTGTGGTGTACCCATCACCATATCTATATAATACCAAGCAGAAAGGTTTTGAAGGCCTTTTGGGATATCAGAGCGGTCTCCCCACCCAACTGATCATATAATTGGCTTTTCTCTCTTTAAAGACTCAAAGCCTTTGTGCTAAACAGAAAATGCGAAAGGTCTTTGGACATGAGGGGTTGAGTGTTGGCTTCATACACAGCAGAAAATGTTTCCCTCCTTTGCTATGGAAGACTAACCTTAGCATCTCACTCCATCTCAAACCCGGTCAAATTTTAATTCAGTTCATCATGAATGCAAAGTGCTTTCTTCAAGCTCCGTTATTTCTGGAGCTCCCTGGTGTCCAGTTTAATAAATTCTTCAGGGAAAGATGTCTGGCAGTGATTGGATGAAGCTATTGGCTTTGGAAAGGAGAGTCTTAACGTCAACAAGTATGTCAACGATAAGTCACTAGAAACAAATCCCAGCCATCCAGTTTGCTTGTTTATGTGGCTCGGCGCCTCGCGCCAAAGCTTGGCCCATATCCAAGTTTCACATCAGTAATCCCTGCCATTCAACATGTTTGGCTTTTGTTTCTTAATGGGTGTTGACAGACAAAATCTACTTCCCACAATCCTCCATTCTCAGCTGCCTTCATTCATGCATTCATTCCACAAATGTGTTGAGTAGCCCTGGAGTCTTTGCTTTACAGAGACCCATGGATACGTCAACAGATTTTTATTGTAATGATAAAAGTATATGATGATAGAGGTATGTATAGTACTGTATGAACTCAGAAGAAGGAGTGTCTTGTCTTACCAAAGAACTAGAATATCTTCGAGGATGGCAGTGGACTTGTATCTTGAATGATGCACAAGAGAATATACAGCAGATTTGGGAAGTCAAAATATAATGTCTCTTCTCTTTCTTTTTTCTTTTTTGAGATAGAGTCTCACTTGGTTGCCCAGGCTGGAGTGCTGTGGTGTGATCCCGGCTCACTGTAACTTTTGCCTCCTGGGCCCAAGCAATTCTTGTGCCTCAACCTCTTAGTAGCTGAGACTACAGATGTGCGCCACCATACCCGGATTTTTTGTATATTAAGTAGAGACAGGGTTTTGCCTTGTTGGCCAGGCTAGTCTTGAACTCCTGACCCCAGGTGATCTGCTCGCCTCAACCTCCCAAAGTGCTGGGATTACAGACTTGAGCCACCACGCCCAGCAAAAATTGAATGTCTACTCTCTTGAGATTTGTACTTCAAAAGCTGTTGGTTTTCATGAGCACAGAAAGAGGGCTTGTAGCCTGGTGATCAGCTGTGTGGGCATTATCAACAGCTGCGAAGAAGAGCGAGACATTGAAAAGAGCTCGGCTCTTTCTGGCTGAGCCAGAGGAAAGGACTTGGCCTGAGCAGATGGGGATTCCCAAGGGGAAAGGAAGAGGCCCAAGGTCTGAAGCCACTGTGCTCTGACCCTACGTCTTTGCTTGCATGGTGTTCATAGATTTACGAGCTGTTGGTGGCTTCCAGTGTGCCACTGGGGTGTCCAGAAAAGCAAGCTAGGAGGGACACTTGTGAGCAATCTGGCTTAGCTCGACATCCTGAAGATGTGGTGTGCTTCACAAGCAAGCAGCACTCCAACAGCCGCCTTGGTTTACATCTTGAAATAAGTCCTCATCACTGGATGAGTATTTTAAGATGCAGCTTTCATCAGGAAAGCTTCATTAAAGCAATTCCAGTAGAGTGAATAATCATTTTCCCCCTCATCAGATGTGCTTGTCTTATGGAATTATGACGAGTTTAATCCTTACTTTTTAAGCTGTATCTTAAAAGAAAGAAAGAAAGAAAAAGCCCTGGAGAAATGATCCTGCGTCTGGGTCAAAACGTTTCCCTCTGCACTTTCAGATCCGTCTTTTCTAGGTCACCATTGCTCTTTATGGCTTTCCTTATCACAGTTTTTTCTAACTTCCTGTTTCCTTGCAAACTTTATATAAACTCATTTTATTTTTACTTTAGCCATTCAGAAGTGAACTTTTCCCCTTTTTGGAGGCCAGTACTTTTTCTGCACCTTATTATTATTGTACACACGAGGGTCAGAGTTATTTTAAATGTTTTGACAACCTTCAATTATTTGCACTTAAGGGGTTGAGTAGAGAAGAAGAACTGCATAAATTCCAAGCAAAATGACATTAGAGCGATCACATGGATAATACCCAATAGCATATATTTCTTGTTTATTTGCCCTTGGAATGTACTTAAAATAGTATTTTTAGCACACCAAACTGCTTCATTTGCAATTCTTATACTAGATGGGCAATGAAATGTGCAGTCCCCAACATGTGGGTAACAGAAAGCTAATGCAATATAACTCTTTCCTAACAAGAACAGCTTTTCACAAAGATAGGCTAAATGCACACCTTTCTAGTTAAGGAAAGAAATGCAATGCTAGATAAACAGGAAGGCCTGTTCCACAAACCTGATTCACAAAGACCTAGAGCTCATTCCTTTAGTCATTAAACATTTCTTGAGCACCGAATGTGTGATAGATGCCAGAGAGTCAAAGAAGAAAAAGACGTTTCCCTGTCTTCTTTGGGTTCGGTAAAGCAACACACAGTTTGGCAACTGCCCAAGGGGATCTGAGAGTCCCTAGTAGCAACAACTAATTCTACCATGTTTCACAGAGAAATATTTCATCTGGACATAGAGAAGTATGTATGTAGAAGACATCGATCTACTCGTGGAAGTGGGGAAGCAGAGTTCCAGGCAGAGGGCCCAGCATCTGCAAAGGTGAAGAAGAAAAGGTAGTGAGGATGGGAGAGTTGAGAGTTGTGGGATAGAGGGGGCATGAGAGCAAGGTGGTGGGTTGAGCCTAGAGGGGTAGATTTGGGCACCACCATGGAGCATCTTGGATGCCCTCCTGAAAAGGATTTGGGCCCTCAAAGCTGAAGCAGAGGTAATATGGCTACATCTGAGCTCTAGAATAACGATAGCAATGTGGATGGTGTATAAAATGGGAGAAGAGACGAAAGCAGAGCAGACTTGCCAGGTAAGAGACAAAGATATTTTGGCCCAAGACAGTGGAGGTTCAGAAAAGGGAAAGGAAGTTCAGTTCAGCCTCATTTAGGATGCTTTGGCACCTGACAGAGGAAGGTAGAGAAGTCCAGAATGCTTCCTAACTTCTTGTTATTTCAACTTTGTGCCCGTTCTCCAAGTGAGCAGATAAAAACATCTACTACTAAAGTCCAGCTCCCGTTGCTTCTTGGTGTTCTTCCATTTCCTTTCAGAACTGTGTAACTCACCCCTGGAGTTTTTTTGGTACACAACCTCATTCTATATTCTGACACTTTTAGGTCCGAGAACAAGTTCTCAGCATGGGCATCATGCTAGAAGATAAGACATGCAGAAGGAAGACCTGTTTTTTTTTCTCCAAGAAGCTCATAAGCTTATGGAGGAGAGAGACAGTTAAAACTCCAGATACTAATTCAGGCCAAATGAAAACCAAAGGGCTAGGGGACTGCAGAGAGAAGGCTGGGAGAATTCCGGAGCTCATAGAGAAGGTGGGGCTTGAGCAAGGCTCTTCATTCTTAGTGAGCATCCACCTCACAGCCTGTACTACAGTTAGTGCTGATAACAACAGGCTAACATGCACACATGATGAGAAGGAGGACACACATCAGATACGTAATTAGCTACAAGCAGAGTGCATGCTGGGAAGAAATGCAGGGTGTCATGAGAATGTGTAATTGGGAGATTAAAGGACTAGGAAGCCGGGCGTGGTGGCTCACACCTATAATCCCAGCTACTTGGGAGGCTCAGAAGAGAGAATTGCTTGAGCCCAGAAGTTTGAGTCCAGCCTGGGCAACACAGTGAGACCCTGTCTCAAAATGAAATGCATGAAAGATCAAGGAAAGCAACGTAGAAGATTTAAGCTAAGACATGATAGGTGGGCAGAGATATTAGTATAGGGAAAGGGAAGAATGTTCCTGAAGAAAGACTGCATGCCCACTTGCTCAGCTCTGAGAAAATGTGGCACGTTCAAGGAACTGAAAGAAATCTAATGTTGGGAAGAGGGTAGACTAATGTAAGCCAGGGAAGGACCAGAAAACAGCATGCAGGAGGCTTAGCCATGTTAAGATTCTGCAACTTTATTCTCGAGGAAATAGGGAACTACTGGGATGTTTGCTTAAGCAGAAGAGGGTATGATTATTATTGTATATTTGGAGAATAAATTGGAAAGGGCAAAGCTGGAAGCAGGAGATGTGTTAAAGCTGCTGGAGTAGTCAAAGTCGGGGTGATAGAGGCTTAGCACAGATAGGAAATAGGGGATGCAGAGGAACAAAGCCTAAGAAATGTAGGAGGCACACATGGACAGGACTTAATGATGACTTAGAGAGGACAGACAGAGAGAAGTCAAGGACGGATCCTAGGTTTCTAACATGGGAAACTGCATGGATGCTGTGCTCTGAACCAAGAGCATCTGGAAAGAAGCAAAATTGGAGGGAAAAAGGTGAGTTCAGTTTTTGAACACATGTGGATTAGTGCAAGCAAGGTGTTCAAGTGGAGATATCCAGTAAGGAATAGACCAGAAAGTCCAAGGGTTGAGCAGGAGAAACTGGAGGGACCTGGAGACTAAGGGCACCCTTAGCATGTCGAAGCCGGAGGCATAGCCCAGGGAGTAACTGAGATGACTCCGGGAGAATGAGTAGAATGTAAGGAGAAAGACTGGACAGATTCCTGAGGAATACCAGCAATTAAAGTGCCTGCAGAGAAGTCAGGGTTTACAAAGGAAACAGAATAAACCACTAGAGGAAAGGGCAAAAGAAAAACAACAGGAGCATAATCAGGAAAGTAAAAGTAGAGAACAGAGGGAGGGAGGGTCCATAATGGGAAATGCTGTTGAGAGGTCAGCAGACACTAGTCCCATTGAAGAGTGTGGTGACTCAGATGCTCACTGCTACTTACTAAGTGACCTTCGATGGGTTATTAATTTTACACGGAGCCTCATCTATAAATTGGACCGATTGCTCTGTATTTAGATTGACATCTAAATAAACGCTCAGTAAATCTTAGCCATTATTATTCAATGGCATGAATAACTGTTAGGGACTTTGTTAGTGGGGAAGTGCCAAGTTAGAGTGACTTTTAGCTGAAAGGGAAAGTGACATTGAGCACTTGAGAGAGGTTGTTTAAATGCAAAAAAGGAGTTCCAGGGAGGAAGATATACAAGATAGAGGAGAAGAGGGCTTTCATTCGGAATAAAGTAAAGCAACACAGAAGGACGGGCATGGCAAGAAGTCTGAGGGATGGCGATACACAGCATGACAACAGACATGGCGATACACACCATGACAACAGATGAGGTCAAGCGCGATGGTAGAGGAGGCAGGAAGAGCTACGGTAAGAGTTGAGCCTGTAGAGAATGTTACATTCATGAATTTGAATATGTGAATTTTGCTTTGTGGATATCAGGGAGCCATGGGCAATTTTAAAGGAGAGGAAGGGTTTTGTTTGGTTCTGTTTTGTTTTTGAGACAAGGTCCTACTCTGTTGCTCAGGCTGGAGTGTGGTGGTGTGATCACGGCTCACTGCAGCCTTGAATTACTGGCCTCAAGGGATCCTCCTGGCTCAGCTTCCTGAGTAGCCGATACTACAGTGTGTGCCACCACACCTGGTTAAATTGTAAATTTTTTGTAGAGACGGGGTCTCACTATGTTGCCTAGACTGAGGAATGGAAAGTTTAACTCGAACTGTTTTAGAAAAATTTCTCTTTTCTTTCCTTTTTTTTTTCCGAGACAGAGTTTTGCTCTTGTTGCCCAGGCTGGAGTCCAATGGGGCTATCTCAGCTCACTGCAACCTCCGCCTCCTGGGTTCAAGCGATTCTCCTGTCTCGGCTTCTGGAGTAGCTGGGATTACAGTCATATACCACCTTGCTTGGCTGATTTTGTATTTTTAGTAGAGACAAGGCTTCTCCATTTTGGTCAGGCTGGTTTCGAACTCCCGACCTCAGGTGATCAGCCCGCCTTGGCCTCCCAAAGTGCTGGGATTATTACAGATGTGGGCCACTGCACCCAGCCTAGAAAAATGTTTCTAACGGTAGAGAGAAGTAGTGATTATAGAGGAGAAAGATTTAGATAAGAGCTGTCCACAGTGTGTTGCTGGCAGAGGAATTTTAATAAAGAGCAAAAAAATCACTTGTAAGCATTTAACCTCAGCTAGGTCACTACACCTCATCAAGATTCAGTTTCCCCACTAGTAAAATGGGAATAATAATATTTATCTCTGAGGTTCTTTTGGGCATTGCGTTTATCAAGTACCTAGTATGGTGCTTGGCATACAGTATTCTTCTCACTATCCTCCTCCTAACAGCTCCACGCTCTGGGTGGGTCTCCATGGCTGGGTATCCAAATGACTTGGTCTCCTCTGATTTTCAGGAGACATAAATTTGCTTCGTAACTTTGCAATACTGAAAGAAAACCACAGTCTTGTCTTCTGCAAAGTTTCCTCCCAAGTGTAGGGCTAAATTTCATCTCTGCTCCCTCTTTTATTTGGCAGATTGACACGGTTCATTTGCTATGTACCAAATTGTCTTGATCCAAGAGTTTTTGTGTTTGGGGCTCGGCAGTGGTCCAAAAGTGTCACTGTCCCATTCAACTTTAAGGGATTTACCTACAAATGGGTGGGTAACGCATCCTTTGGACAGATGGCACAACCCTGAAGCCACTGCCCTAATTTCTTCTTCTTCAGGGTTCTCCCTTTTTTTTTTTGGAGACGGAGTTTCGCTCTTTTTACCCAGGCTGGAGTGCAGTGTCGCGATCTCGGCTCACCGCAACCTCCGCCTCCTGGGTTCAGGCAATTCTCCTGCCTCAGCCTCCTGAGTAGCTGGGATCACAGGCACGCGCCACCATGCCCAGCTAATTTTTTGTATTTTTAGTAGAGACGGGGTTTCACCATGTTGACCAGGACGGTCTCGATCTCTTGACCTCGTGATCCACCTGCCTCGGCCTCCCAAAGTGCTGGGATTACAGGCTTGAGCTACTGCGCCTGGCCCAGGGTTCTCCTTTTAACCTGTCTTCTATGATATCTGACTTGGTTAAATTCATGTCCACCCAGAAATAACTAGTTTCTGGAAAAACTGTAATGTGGATTGTATTTCTGTAAAGCCATATGTTCCATACATCCTGACGTCCTCACAGATGCCATTTGATTCCATTTTGCCATATTCATTTAATAAATATTGAATGTCTGCTTGGTGCCTGGCATCTGCAGTGCAAAGAGGGATAAGATTCAGTTCTGCACTCCGAAGGATCCCATATTTTGTGGCAAAGCAAGAGCTAAAGACACAATTCCAGTAGACTATGGATAGGTTAATTTGGAGCTGCTAAGTGGCTATCATGAGGGTGGAGATTGGGAGGTCACAAGAAAGTTCCAGCAAATCTGGCATTTGAACTGCATCTTGAACTGTGAACTGGACCTTCCCAGGTGAAGAGAAGGGGATGGGCTTTCCTGTTTCCTGATGAAGGAACATGTACTTGAAAGAGAATGGCTGGCTCTGAAAAGGGTGAACCGTGAGTTGTCCGAGGATTAGGATGCCAGCAGCCGTTTACTGAAAGCACATTATGTGTTGTACATGGTGCTAAGTGCTTCTTGTATTTTTTCACTTGCACGCAGCAGCCATATGAGGCAGGTCCTATTGTTATTCCCATTATACTCGAGATATCACTGCTGCTTCGAGAGGTTGAATAGCTTGCCCATGCCAGAGTGATAAGATATAATTTGAATATAAACCATCCTGTACTCCTGAG